ACTCTTCACATTATTTATCAGTTCTACTTTTCGTCATATTGCATTTTTCTCCTTTTATTTGTTCTACATGTATTTGACAATTACCTATGATTCTATATGTTTATAAAAATTTAGTGTTATTTTATTATTTTTACTCAATTTTCACATTTTACTGTAGATCCAATTGTTCATTTTATCTTATGAAGTTTTTTCTTATACAGGAAAAAATATCTGGACCGAATTATTTTTATTCTTTTTATTTTTATTATTAACATCTGTTATATATGATAAATAGTGTACACTGCCAAGATTAGTGTAATCATATATACATTAACAATTAAAACTTATTTATATAAATCTTGAAAATAATTTAATGAAGAAATTTCTATTATAATATTTATATAATATACATATAATAGTAGAAATATTCATAATTTAATTCTTTTTAAAGAGATATCACACACAAATATAACATGTTCCACCCATATTTATAATAACATTATATATAAAAATTTACATCACACATTATACATTTTCATAATATATTATTAAACAAACACATTATATCTATATATAATGTACACAAATGAATATATAGTGAAATCTATGCTATGTATTCTTGGAATAAGGAATATAACAAAATAAAAATTAAATAATACTAACTAAATAAACTTTATAGTATAGTTATTAAATATAAACTATAGGAATTCATAAAATATGTAAATTTGTAAATATTTCATATGTATTCATAGATTACCTTATATAATAATAATAAAATAACAAATAGGGACAATATATTCCTACAAGTATAAATTTTACATTAAAAACATTTCTATTTCATCATTCCTTTAATTAAAATTACTTATATATTGTCACACGTACTAAATTCAATATAGTCCATTATAAACAATTTATTCTTTTGTCAATAATTTTGCAAAGATTCTCTTACAAAGTTATAACGCACAATAATTTCACAGAACCTGCTATTCCTAAGCATTTAATCTATGTAGGTATATAATAAAGTAAAATATATTTTAAAAATAAAATCTAGCATTCTGTAGAATTAAAAGTGTAATCATTAGCACAATAATATATGAAAATACATAAACAATCATAATAAAATCTAATGCTGCTAAATCATTAAATCTAAAACTAAACCCTAAACCCTGTGAGAATTACGGATATATTGCATATTTTTTATGTAGCGAATACTTCTATTTGTATTCATGTATATATGTTAAAACAGATATTTCGAAATTCATATGAAATAAATATTATTTTATTATACAATAAATATATTCATAAGAATAATGAATTCGAGAAATAAATAATTAAATAAAAATCTTTAAAATAAATATTAATTCAAATTTAAATATTAAATTTAAATTAATATTTAATGTATTAAGTCATTATACACATTCTACATTGTGATTACAATTAACCCATTTAAATGCAGAGAATTCACATACGAAAAAATTTATTTAATAATAATATAATTATCAACAAATAACTAAAAGATAAACGTGGTACTCATAATACAAACATTATTCATTATAACCTATAGCACTTAATATTTAATATGCAATTATATATATATTCAATATACGGAGGGCTAGAAAATTATAAAATTTTTATTTGGCATGTAAGCATTTTATTATATTTTTTAGATATATATAATTTATTTTTACTATATAAGGTATTTATAGTTTTAGATTCACTAATGTAATAATTAATGAGGTGTATTATATGCCATTTGCGTTTCCTACTATGTTAATAGTGATGTAATTATTAATAAACTAGGACATTACTACTATTTTTCATGAGCCTTAAATTTTTTAAAAAAAATAATCATAAATTCATTATACTATATGTTTGTTTTATAATACATAAAATATTATATAACCATAATACTATAATTACATCATCCTCAAAAATATATAATCATATCTGCGATGGATAAATTTGATGTAACTTATTGCCAATAAGATATAGTGAACACAATTATAATATAAATATATACTACTTTCCAAAGGAAATACGAAAATTTTTTTAGGAATATATTTTGTTTGTTACGTGTTAATTATTTTTTTTTAGTATTTATTAGTTAAAGAATTCCTTAAAAATAAAAATATATTAGAAAATAATGATAATGATTTGGAATTAGCTAATAACCCATGTTCCTCTTATGGCAGTATTGGATCATATCAAAATATAGGGGAAAAATTCCCAGAACATAGATGCAAAAAAGCTTTGACCTTTGCATCTAAAATAAAAGATGAATATTATAATTTTGGATATGCACAAGAAGATTGTTTATACTTATATTATTGGTTATACAATGAATTTAAGGCTTATAATATGAGCCAACATACCTTTGATATTTATTTTCAATTGATTAATGCTGTACATGGGCCAAATAATATGAAATGCAGGTATTATAGATATACAAGTATTTCAGAAATTGAAATCCAATTACTGGACGATTTATATGGAATGTATACTAATCTGCATTACATAGAAACATCTTCTTACCCATCTGGCAAAATTAAGTGCAATTGCATTACCGAATGTTCAGATAAATATGAAGTATACCATGAAAAATGTAAATCTAATAATACAAGCTCATTTTGTAGAGCATTAGACGATATTAAAAATAAATATAATAAAATGCCAAATTTGACAGATGGTTGTGATAATATAAAATGCAAAATGTTACCTTGCGATAGCAATGAGAATATAAGGTTGCCTTCTCCTAAAATTAAAAAATCAATAACTGCTATATTATCAACTATTCTAATATTAATAATACCCATTTTATTATTTATAATTTATAAGGTTAAATGTAATTTTTATATATATATTTATATGGTATAATAAAATTAAAAAAAAAAAAATTATAATATTAATATATTTTTAATATGAATTTTTTATTTTACTATAAATTAGTTCCTTCCATGTAATTCAAGCATGCATCGTGGAATAAAAAAGATAATGAATAAATGTCGTGGTAAATATAAAGAATGCAATAAATCACAAAATTCAGAAATATCTAACAGTATTTATTGGAATAATAACTATAATGTATTATATAGTTCTACCTAATTTTAATATTAAATATGTATATCAAATATATTGATTACTAGAGAAATTATATAAAAAATGTAATCAAGTAATTTTCAAAAATTTTCTATCAAACATATCGTGTCAAAATAAAATAATTCATAAACAATATATATTAATAAAAAATCATAATATGTCAATTTAAAAAAAATATATTCCATTCAGTTACTATACTATTTCATAATTTATATCTAAGGACACAGAATTAAAATTATTTTTTATTTTTCTGTTTTGTTAAAAATGTTTATATATTCAGATATAATTTTTTGATTTATTATTCATATTGTTACATGTAAATAGAATTAGTATTTCAATTCGATTTATATTAATTTATAGGTTCCTTAATTGTATTTTGTGCACTATAAACAATTTGTTTTCCTTCATGTTTTTCTTAAAATAAGAATGCTTCTCTAAACTATGTTATAAATGTATATGGATTTTTTAATTCTATTTTAATATTTATACATACATTAAATTTTAGTTCTGATGCCTTATAAAAGTTCATATACGTATAATATTTATTATACATTTTACAATTATATATATGAAATTAATTCATCATATTTACTACATACAAATATTATTTGTTTTCAAAATTGATGCTATTTCACAAATACATATCAGGAAACATGGATTATGATTCTATATTTTGTAATTTTTCTGTTATAACAATTATATGATGATTCATAAAGAGTTTATCTTTATAAGAATTGCATGTAACTTATATGGATGTATAATATAAAAAAATGGACTAATATTTTAAAGCTGTTTATATATTCTTTTTTTTAGATATTTTAATATTATCTTAACATATAAATAATAATCAATTCTATATATATATTATACACATTTTTATTAAATTGGAATTGAAAATTTGGTTAAATGAATATAACTATACCTCCATTCATATCTAAATTTAATATAAAAAATATATTTATCTCATTCATATTTTTCTTTGTTTTCTGTTATATGTCTATTAAGCTATATTTTGTTAGATACTAGTATATATAAATATTTATATGAAATAATGTGTCATTGTTAAATATTTAATCATTGAATATAATAAATTACTTAGATTTTTTCATTTAAAATTAATTAAAAACAATTTAACTATTAAATTTTAATCATTATTTCAATTTGAGTTATATATAAAGAATACTAATAAGCAGGATATTATATATAAGGAAAAATATTATATAATTATATACATAATCATAAATAAGCACGAAACTATAACTAACATATATATATTATTTTCTATATGCTAATGTAATATTAATCACCATAATACATAATTATTCCTAACAATTCAGTTAATATTATTTAATATAATTTTTAAATATAGCAAATAAGCGAATATATAAGAGAAACAAATGATTCAGAATATTAAAACTTATTTCATATTTATGATCATATTATATTAAAGAAATTAGATTTGTACTATATGTTTTATGACATATATTGTTTAATTAATTGTACATTTGTTATCTATTATTCTCTGGATTATTTAAGACATATTATCTTCAAGGGAATGAATGCTAGTAATTTGAAAAAAAATTATATCCTTGAATTTATTTTACGATTATAAGTTTTAGATGATTAAAAATTATAATTATTACATCATCTCTTATTATACTTTTAAACAATTACATAAATGACCGACGTTCTTGAAAACATTATGATATAAGTTCATTAAAATATACAAGCTGAATTTTCTATATACAATATCATAAATATATTTTATATGTGAATTCACAAGTTTAATATAGTTATTATCATAAATTCATAAATATATACAAACTATGTTATTATATATTGCTTGAAATAAAAAGTATGATTTATATAAAAGCATGCATTATTTATACATAGGAACTCACAAGATATTTTTTAATGCACATGCTTCTTTAATACCATATATAATAATATATAATGTTTAAGCTAATTTATTTGCTTTAAAAAAATATTTATTTTATTAATGATATTTTTAATATGAAAATTTTAATACTTTATATTGTCACAACATAAATATACATTCTGTATATACATATTGCTACTACCTATGTATATATATAATTATATAGACAGTAATTAAAATCATTTCTATATATGATAATAATGTGCCCAATTTTTATCTATATAAGAATACTTGTATACTAAAGAAGAGGAATTATAAAAAAATAATTTGTTTTTTCACTAACTTTTTTCATTGTTTTTATTTCATTGGATATAATTTATTCCATTTTGTTATTTAAATTTTTATTCGAAGTTATTATAATTATATAATATTATAATAAATTTTAATGTACACACAATACCAATGCATAAAATAAAAATAAAAACATATATTAATTTTTTTAAAGTTAAAATTAGGTGAAAAATAAAATTATATATATTTCTTAAATTAATCAATCAACTATATTAAAAATTCATGACATAGTCATTATCTAATATTTTTACATTATTTTACAAACAGTTCTAAAATATAGAAAACGAATATGATACTATTTTATAGATGTTAATTTTATATTCATTAAATTAAAATAAAATAACGTACCTTAATTATAATATATATTTTAGAATACATTTCTCTATCCATATTATTTGTAAGAGCATTATCACTTGCATCACAATATATTAGTTAATATTAATTTATATTTTTTTTCTCTACCAACTGTTTCAAATTTACCATAAATTCTTGTAATATAATTATTATAATTTATTATTTTGATACTCTGCAGGTGTAATTTTACTCTATTTTACCTTAAATACATCACTTCCCCTTATAATTATAGAATATATTTTGCATTTTAAACTAAAATACACATTTGTGGGCTCAATAAATTATAATACAATTATTAATGCCTCATAATTTTTATATTGTTCTAATTAACGTCAAAACTATCCTATCATTAATTAAATTTATTATAATAATCTTTTTCTTAGTGCTATACATTCATGAATTGTTCATATAAATATTTATTTGTATAATGTATAATACTTAAATCATGTTTTTTTTTAATGCCCATCATTCATTATTCTTCTATATTTTTGTCTCATTGCACATTCTCACACAACTATAATAGCATGTTTCCTCATAAAAATCTCTTAAATAATATTTTATTAATTTTTAATTATAGATAAACATTTTGTGCATAATGACATGTCAAACCTCATTGTCTTATGTTGTAATATATAAATTTATATTATTATACATATGATTCTATTTTCCCTTTGATTATTTCATTTTGATTTGGAGTTAATTTTCCTACTTTATGCTCATCTTATATGACGTCGGTCCATATGAAGTAAAATAATCATATATAAATTGAGGAAAATATTATTATTTAATAAATATGTACATGTAAAAATTATATATATCAATACAAAATACTTATATATTTAATTATAATCTGTATAGACGATATAATAAATCTGCAACAACATCACTGTTCCTAATGTTAAATAATCTACAATAAAACCATTGAAAAGATATTAATTTTATATAATATAATTTGCTTCTGTAATATTGGAAAAAAGTTAAATTATTTCACATGATACATTATGTTGCATATAGAATATACTATGAGTAGCTTTATTATTCTCATGTTACTACTAAATTTATGAAGTAAATAAAACCTTACTCATGTCATTCTTATCCTACGTCCTTAGCTTCTTTAACTTTATCTACATACAACCTATTAAATGACATTAAAACTCTCAAAATAGCACTTCTTTCACATGTTTCACAAATAGTAAAGCTCGAAATATAATTCAATAGATTCATAGTCACAAGATCAAAATTCATAATGACAATTCATATAAATCGGATTAATATAAGTTTTTTAAATACATATTCATGCCCATTTTATCACAATTATTACTTTTCACATATTTATAATATTAAAAAGTATAATGTAAATATTTCTATTATTCCCAATTTTATGGGTTACTTCATTTATAACATATATATGATTCCAATTTATATTGTATTTTAATTAATAGTTCTACAAGGTCATATGTTTTATCCCTAATATGCCTATTTCATATATCGGGTACATTTTAGTCCTTTTTCACTATGTGAATATGGAAGAGGTGAGAAAAGTAATAGCATACATATAATCGTTCCTTTTCTTCTTTGACAAACCATTTTTTAAAATTTTTTGCAATATTTTTACAAAGGACGATATTTTCTTCGTTAATTCTTTCTAAACTGTTACAACATTTATTATTAGTGTTTTTAACAAACTTTTTTTCAAATAAATTATATTTGTTATAGATAAATATAGAAATATTTCACTCCTTTAAATATGAGGAATAAACAAGTAGTTCTATATAAACTTTAAAATCAGTCTTAAAAAAGATGTCATTCTGTGTTAATAAATTTATATAAATTGTTCTCAAAATTGTTTATATGCAAATCAAAAGTGTACATAAGACAAATATTCCTATTTAACCATGGTATTCTATTTTAACTCATGAAAATAAATTAATTACAAAATTCGAGAAATTATCTATACATGAAAACCTATTTATTTAACATAGATGTGTTCTATGGTAATGTTACCATCATAAAACGTGAATACTTTCAATTATTTATAAACGTTTAAGAGAAATTGGAGTTCTGAAAGATATCAATTTAAAAGTATATCAGACAAACCTATTAATATTGAGTTATAAATAAAATAATTCTTATTTTCACATAGTGCTAAGTGTGACGTTTTCATATTATTGTTAGGTATGTCTACTTAGATATTAACTATCGAAATACAATATTATAATTTATTACTTATAATATAGAGATAATATCTTGATTTTTCAATAAAAAAGTGTAATTTATTTTATTATTCTCTTACTCTTTTTTGCTAGTTATTTATATCACGTATTTATTTTGAATTCTTAAAATTACAAATTTTAAAAATTGGTAATGTAATTAAAGCTAATGTGATGTCAATTAATAAATATAATTTGCGACAACTTCATTT